ATTACGAATTTTGTTTATTTGGAAATATATTTTCTGCAGTATTTCAATACCAAAAAATGAAAATAGTAGGTAGCTAATTAACGAAATTATGATTAAATAACTTAATTGTAACACCACTGCAGAATATCATATGATATATACATAGATATTCGTTGATTCTTTAAAAACATTTTTATCAATACCTACATCATACATTGAAGTAAATACAGTAACGCAAAAAACAGATGTTGATAAAAAAGTGTACAAAAGAAATCCGTAAGTACGCCTGGCAACATTACCAAAGTCTTGTTTATATGTTGCTAGGATACGCTTAGATATGCGGGCCACTGTATTAGATTCTTCCTAAAATTCTGCTGGTGGTGTACTCTACCGGCAATTCGGAAATTTAAAACTGCTTGCCTATTCCAGGAGCGGTCTGTGGCGATAGCTATTTTGTCTGTGCTAAAGCTATATATTGCTTAATTTCGGATATTTGCTGCGGGTCAATTTCGGATATCCGAAATTAGGAATCTTGTATAGATCTATGGGCCAAGGGTTAAGTTGGATTATAACTGGTATCCCGTATAATGACGATCTTTAAAAAACAAAGCACAGTGTAAAAAATTTCACTTAAATTTCATTCAATTTTACTCAATAACCTATCAATTTCTGTCCACACTCGATTGAGTGAAATTTTCACTCAATCACAGTACAACAGTACACAGTATTACAATCAATACAACTGAGTGAAACTGTTGCATCAGAAATGAGTGAGTTTTACTCAAAACCAAGTTACTGCTAACTATCAATGAGCGACTTTTGACTCTATTCTGAGTATATAAAACCAATTTAGAGTTGACTTTTTCTCTAATATGATTTAAATTTAACGATTATTGAGTCATTTTTTACTCAAACTTAGTTCTTAATTAACTAAATATTGAATGCAAAAATGAGTCACTCATAAATGATTAATTATGATATACAGTGTTTAAATTAATTCACTTCGCGGGGCCTCCTCCTGTCCTGGCTGAGACCCGCCTGCTGAGACCCGCCGCCGCTGACTAAGGCCTGTTCTCTTGGCGATCACGCTTTTCTGCATCTAAAGGGCCGCTATCAACTGTGGTCGAGATTACAGAAGCAATATGTAAGTGGTGCCATCTTCATGGCGCCATTCAAATTATTCAAAATTAATATACATTTAAACTCGCTCAGTAATGAGGAGATTTACTCTGATTTAGGTACAAGTGCACCAAATACGAGTTTACGTGAAGAATTTATTTAAGGAGTACCTACCTATATTTGAATGAAGGTACACAGTTTTAGTTTAAATATAATCATAAATGAGTAAAATGATTAAAATGCCCAATATTGAGTGAAAATGTTCTCAATAATTACACTCAATGGATTCACTCCGAAACTTTATTACTTTCACTAACACCGATTTTCTTACAGTGCAGAAGTTAGCCTCTGCATTAACACAGAAAAACGATTCAAATATAAACGTAAGTGAAAATGAAGATGTGGAATGCATATTTTACAATGACTTCTTTTCTGACGATCTGGACAAAATGGATTAGATACATGAAATGTTTTCGATGGGTACATGAAGAGTGTGCGAACAGTGACAAGAAGAAAGTGTATATGTGTAATTTTGTGTGTCTTCATAAATCTTTTATAGATTTTATATTATCCAGAAATGGTCTCCTAATTTGGGATAGGATATCCTAATTTTGGATATCCTGTCCGAAATTTGAACATGGAAGCACTGTTGAAGAGAAAGAGTTTAAGGGGGGAAACCACATCAGGAGGCTGATTTTCAGGCAACTTTGACATTATTTAATCAATATTTTGAACTACATTACAATTTTTTTCAAGTCACTTGTGTTGAAAATGCCGAAGTCCACCGAGGGTCGTCGTCCGAGTTGGTTGTTCACGGGAAATATAGAGGTGGCAATTTTGATCTGAAAGCAAAATGGTTATTTTCCTTCATTATTAACATGTTTTCTAAGAGTATGAATCTCATTGCCGATAAAAATTGTGAAAATTGAAATTTTGACATGTGTTTGAGAAAAATGTATTAATTTTTACCATTTTTATTCACTTATTTTGAATAAAAACACCCTTAGAATTATGATATCCCAATTCAATTTTCATAACGATCGGTTCATAACTTTTTGAGCTATAGTTCCCGTGAAGCAAAAAAATGTCGTTTCAAGAAAAACGCGTTTGAAAACTAGAACGCGTATCCGAAAACTAGAAATTTGAGTTGTCGATAATATAGCGTGCTTTCTAATTAATCAGCAATTTCAGTTCCATATATCAGTCCTTCTTTTACTCATAGGCATCATTATGAGCTTTCTGAACTTGCATCTCTTATTTCTTGCTTAATAAGTGATTAGACTACCTGCTGTGAGGCCAAGCGCTGACCCGATGGCTATTCGGCTTAGGCTCATAAAATCGGAACGAATAGGAATTTCGTATTGAAACTTTGGCAGAGTATTCTTGAATAGTTATACAACTATTTATGCAATAAAAAATACGATTTTTTGAACCTCCTAATGTGATTTCTCCCCTTAAGAAAGAAAACATGTTTCAATGAATTTCTCTTCTTTGCACATTAGTAACATATAACCATTTAAAGAAACTACTACTACTTAGCCTACTTTCCACTACTTAGTGGAACTGAAATTCTGGGGTTTTTAATGTCTCCCAGATCTCTGCCACATGTTGCTATTATTGTATTGAGTTCAGTGAATTTATGACTTTATTTTCTATATCACCAGTTTTATCAGTCAAATATAATCAGATATATTCGGGTGTGTTGGGTGCCAGGGCCCAAAGGCATCCGAGACAGAGTTCATTGGCCCGGAGCCCTTCTGTGGCACATCTCCCAGTGTGGTCAGGCGGGCTCTGGGCAAATGGACTGAGACAGAACACAGAAAATACTGGACTTCAAGGCCAGGACATAGCCATGGAGTATCCTTTGAAGGAAAGAGCGAATGATTTACTGAGCTCGAACATAATCCAGCTCAGGAGAGTGACTGGACTCATAACGGGACACTGTCACTTTAGGAAACATCTACATAAGCTAAAGCTTGTAGACAGTCCGGTCTGCCGAGGATGTGAATCGGCGGATGAAACTTCTATACATATCCTGGGCGAGTGCCCGGGATTTGCACGTAGTAGAATGGCGCTCCTGGGAGACCCTATTTGGAACTCAAGGAACTGAGAGAAGTGTCAGCAAGGAAGCTTTTGGACTTTGTTAAAAGGACAAATCTACTTGCTGAATAGGACTAGTCGTGGGACGCACAATAGGCCTAATTAGGCCGCGGTGCTATGGGACTTATTAGGACCAACCACTAGGAAGAAGAAGAAGAAGAAGAAATCAGATATATTTAGCATACCTAGATTTCAGGAATCGAAGAACACTGTTTGACTTCATTTGATAAGATTTCTTATAAAAAAATCTTTTGATTAGTTTAATACCTTTATAAAAGATTAAAAATACGAGAGCTAAAAGAATATATTTTTTACGAAGGTGATCAACATGAAGTAACAGTGTTTTCCGTGATGGGTTACAAGGAAAATGTCTTATATCCCTTACATCCCTTAAATAATACAGTTTCCACCACCCACGGCATATCAATCTATCAGATAAGGATCAAAGGCGTTCACTTAATTCCGCCGTCAGAATTCAATAAACGCTCGCATCATCTCTCAAGGATAACGGCCATAGTCTGAATTCGTTAAGCGTATTAGTTCCATTCACAGGACGGTGGCGCCGCTACTACGGCCACCAGCGAACCGGCGCGCGTTTCCGATCAATGCCGACCCCACGAGCTTTCCTCAAGTCGGCATCGATTCCGCTGAAAAACGCAGTGCGAGCGTCGGTGTGAAAATCGCGACTAGTCATGGAGAGTGGCGACTTTTACTACCCCGATGCGGGGGTGCCCAAACCTCAACCAGGGATCCGGCCCAGGGTGGACCCCGAGGCCGAAGGAGAGGTCGATCCGTCCATGTAAGCTGCCCTAAAACTCATTCTTTAGACTTCTCGCCATACCTTTTTTATACCTATATGTCATTGTTTACTGATTAGTGTATCTAATCTAAATTATTGAATTAAATCTGGAGGTATTTATATATACCTTTTATATCATCAATATCAGATCTAATCTTTATAGCTTTAATAGAAAATAGTTGCATAATGGTTACTAATATGGTTAGGGATAAACTCAATCAATTAGACGCGCGAGTTGCAAGTTCACATAATAATAAAAAGCAAAATAAAACTGAAATTTATTTTCAATTAGTAAAAATTATTTTATAAGGTATATTATTAAGCTTATTTAAAATGTATTAAAGCAGAGACACTTGAATTCAAATTGAAACCGAACCGTATCAATAACGGCAGTGACGATAGTCTAAAGGCGATGATTGTCAGCTGTTTTCGTATCATGTCAATTTGGAACCACTTTTCAGCTCATTATTTCGTACAATACCACATTACACATTAGAGAAAGCTGTGATTGAAGCGAAAGGTGTTTATCAAAGAAAAAATTAGAGGAATACACTGCATTCCTATACCAAAAAAAAAAAAAATTGATGAAGTGGTTGTTAATGTTTGCAGATATCGAAAATATTCGACATATTGGAAGTAAATATTAATTTAATGAAATGTTAATAAAATATGTTTGTTTAAATTTTGAGCAACTCGACAATATTCTGTGTGGAACGAATCCTCGCCAGTTCAATTCTGTCAATTTTGACATTAGCAAGTAATATTAACTAGTTTCTGAGATTAATCACCTACTAGTGTCCAATATTACAGATTCCCTAACCTAATTTTCAATTATTGTTGTGCTGCTCTTATCCGTAACGTTAATGAGGTTGTCAGTTTTAGCATATTTTCATTAATATCTATTCATTATTATTATTTATTCATATTTTTTGACACCTGCCGATAAATGTACAAATAACGATCATATTTCATTGTTAACATTCACATTAACAGGAATAATTTGGCAATAATCATTTAACTAATTTAATTACCAACCAATACAGGGTCATTTCACTTTAAATACTTATCTGCAGCAATAGATTAGTTGCCAAAAAATAAGTAGAGTTTGCTCTATTAACTTTTTTCCTGGGAGACGTGGTATTTGAGGTAAGTGTTCAAGTTTCCGAAAAAAAAATTTTCTGTCATATCTTTATATTACACTGAACGTTTTCAATGAAATTTATTACAGCGTATTCACGTAATTAGACCTTTTATTGAATATAATATTAACCTTGTGGCATTAACCAGTGGCGTGCTACTGAAGGTGCCGCTGGCAGTTTTTTGTAGAAATGATGATAAATTCAGGTACTGTTACGATAAATAAATGAAAAGTGATTCTTGTTGTTTTTTAGGAGATAATTTACTTATTTGGCGTCTATAATGCGCACATTTATTCCACCTACTCATATTTGTTTAAAATTCATCATCAAAAATTGACTCTTTTGTCTGCATTATCAGTCAGTAAATTTTACGATGATCTCGTTTTAGTATTACAACTAGCTTTGTTTATTTATTTCTGAAGTTGCAATCCTTGTTGGACTTATGAACACGAGACGAATTGTAGCAAAGAATAGAGGAAAATTGTAGTCTCCCTAGGGAAAATCATGTCATGATAAGTTCTTCTATAAATAGATTAGAAGATGTCAAAAGTGTATCGATGCGGAAGCACTTCGTTGTGGACAATTGTTGTAGGACTCGTTACTTAATTACTTACTCGACCTATTTGATAATGTTATTTTATTATTTAGTTTTGATATAGATACCTCCTAAACGGTTGCTACTATTAAAAAACAGCAAGAAACATTTTTCATTCATTTAACGTAACAAAAACCGCCAGTGGTGTATTTTTTTCTCAGGAAAATGGGGTGGCACTGGTTAAAGCCACAAGGTTAATATTAAATTCAATACAAGGTCTATTTAAGTGAATTAAGTCTAATAGTAAATTTTATTAAATTGCGGCAGCGCATTATGAAGATATAGCAGGAAAAATATATTTTTTTGTAAACTTTAACACCCTGTATCTCGAATACTGAGCCCCGTAGGAAAAAAGTTTATAGAGCAAACTCTACTTATTTTTTGGCAATGAATTTAGTCCTGCAGTTTCTGTATTTAATGTGAAATCACCCTGTATACCTATTTTTGTGATAAAAAATATTTTTCAAGATTTGATTAGCTTATATTTTTCTGGAATTATTAATTTCATTACAAGTACTCGTTCAATCAATAAACAATATCAATTATCCCACTATCTGTCATAGTTTAACGAATATTGGGACATATTTGTAAGGTTAGTGATTTAAGTATGTCACTGATTTTAATTTCGGATATAAGAAAAAATCGTAGGTAGTCAAGTCTGACCAACAACGAGAGTGAGGAAGGACAGTAGTCTGATTTTTGGCACAAAACTAACAAATTGACAAAACTGAGTGTGCGGGCGCATTGTCTTGGTACTGCAGGAACCATTAATTATCTCGTCACAGCTCTCGTCACTTTCCGCGCGATTTTTTCACGTAACCGTTATAAAACGCCTTGACACACTGCTCACTGTTTCAAGACTTCCAAATTCACAATTCCAATAAAGTCGAAAAAACAGTGAGCATCACTTTGACATTGTATAGAGACTGACGTGCTCTTTAGGAGACGTGGAAATCCCTTGCCAATCCATTGTGGTGACTGAAATTTTGTGTCAATGTCATAGAAATAAACCCAGCTTTCATTTCCCGTTATGATCTTTTGATGTTCGGTCATCAAACAAGGAACAAATTTTGCTGCAACTCGATGCATGTTCAATTTCTCATTCAAAATTCCACGTTATGACCCGATTGAGATGCTAACCTTCTTTGCAATTTCTTTGACAGTCAATCGGCGCTTTGCATGTACCAGATCTTTGACTTTCTGAACATGGGAGTCATCAGTTGGAGTTGAAGGCCTTCCTGGTCGAGGATCATCTTCAATTGACCGACGACCACTTTTAAGTCATGTAAACCATTCGCAACATTGCGTACGACCCAGAGCATCATCAATGTAAGCTTATTTCAAAAGTTGAAACATTTCCGCTAATGCGTAATGCAATGATGTCAAGCGCATTTCACTAAATATCTATCTGTACACGATGTCCCGTTCGTGTTTCAAAAAAACTTATGTGCAAGCTTCTTTCTGAAAAGCAGTGTCACCGATGCAGGTAATTGGAGGGGTACAATTAAAAAAAATATATGTTAAAAGTCAAAATTTATTATATTTCTAAACGATTTTGTAAACGGCAAGTAATTTTAGGTGGGGTCCGGATACTTTTGAAAATTTTTAACGAGGTCCAGAAAAAAAAAATTTCTTATTTTTTATTTTAATTTGGACTCAAATTTAATCTGCTTACTAACCATTAAGAACTCAAAACACTCACACAATTGTAAAATACTAGAAAAAATGATTGGCACTTAAACGTAAAAAAACATTTTTTTAAATAATTTATTTGAGTAATTTATACTTTCAAAAAATTTTTGGCGGTCCAGTATTTTACCTTCCGCGGTCCGGACCTGGACCGCGGTCCGCCAGTTGCCGACTCTTGCTCTAAAACATATTACAAAAAAAGATATACTTGTAGAAATTCGGTATCATATACCATTTTCGAGAAAAATTGCATAAAAGCAAATGACGAACAATTTCAGCATCTACTGTAGTACGAGTATTTCAAGTTTTGCTCATTGTGCAGCTATTTTGTTCGGTTTGTCTCCGAGAATGTTTCCTAATATTTTTTTGTTCTTATCATTTTTTAAGCCTTCATGTTCATTCAGTCCATTCAGCAATTGTCTATTTTAGTAGTGGTAGTGTAGTAGTTTACAAAATCTAAAATTAGTTATTAATAGATTAATTACCATAATTTATTTATTTTGATTTACTTTTTTGAATATTACTTTACAACAAGCTGAAACTTAAAATATTTTTTCTTATTTCTTTAAGTTAATAAAATGTTTTAACTGTATTATGTGATACGTAAGAAATTAAAATTATTATGTTCTTACATGCAAAGACTATTGGTAGGTAAATGTCTTCAGCTCATTCAATGGTAACGTCCTTTTTCAATTTTGGTAATGTACCATTTTATGTGAGCAAAAAAATGCAACTTCATTTTTCTCGACAAGTATACCTTTTTTGTAGTAGGTATGCTTTATAATTTATAAAACCGTTTAGAAATGTAACAAATTTTTACTTTTAACATATTTTTTTCGATTGTAACCCTCCAATTACCTGTAGCGGCGACAATGCTTTTCAGAAAGAAACCGATTGCACATTATTCTTAACGTACAGTTGACGTTTACTCGTGTACAAATTTTGACATTTTTATATTTAGCCGATTTAAAGATAATTAATGGAAAACCATATGGAAAGTAACAACTTCAACATAGTATATCTCGAAAATAGGGCGTCTAAAAAGAAAGTTACACGAACTACGCCCATATACACGTTTTTTTGAAACATGAAAGGGACACCCTGTATATTAGCGTGTAATTGAAAAAATTCGGTTATTTTCCCAACAGACCTCGTATATACAATTGTTGAGATTTAAAACAAACAGAATAATTTAATTTCAGTGTTGTAAGGGAAAATATAAGCTGTAATAGTAAGCAGTTAATAGTACCTTTACGTGTGTTATTTTAATAAAATTATTGATCGCCTAGTGATGTCGAATTTATACAAATAAGAATTCCTAATAAAACTCATTCTTGATGACGAAGTAATACAAAATTTTATAAATGGAAATAGGTCATTTCTTTAGTAACCCTTACTTGCTAAACACATATAACACTTGACTATAAGAATTTAATTGCAAAAACTTTGTATGTGTATTTTTTATATTTGAACACAATAGGTTCAACTAATATTTTTCCTTTGTTCGTTTATGTTTTTTGTTATCTATGGAAAAAAATAAATTAATGAAATAAACCATTGTGCCAAAAGTTTCAATCAAGGGTTAGGTACTTTGCGAAAATATGCTTACCTAGCTACAAAAAACTGAAAAACGCAGATAAATTTAAAATAAGAACAACATAACAACATCACTAAATCAGGCATTTTAGTTAGTTAACATTTCGAAAAACGACATTTGTATAGAGATAAGTTGGTTTAAAATGTCTTATGTTCACCTTACGAATCTATGCTGACTCTTTACTACTCGTACATGCGTTTCTAGGATACCCTGTATTCACAATATTATAATATACAGGATGAATCGTAGTTTGGTGTAAAAATTTAACCGAACATTCCTTTGACCAAAACAAAGTAATTAACTTAAAATACATCAGTTACAATTCCTTAAATTTCTTAAAATTTCTTAATTCTTTAAAAAATAACGACCCTACAAATATTTTTTTTACGATAATTCTGTCATATTTTAAGATACTTAAATTTTTAATTTTTTTCGAAGGTGGCAAAATACCAAATAAACAGAAAACAAACAAAATTATGTCAGAAATATGTAACTTCAGATAAAGAATTTTTTAACTCTATTTCGAAAATATATCAATATCCGAAGTTTACACGGTGTTATTGTGGTTTGTTAATTTTTCTCTTTTTACTGTGCATACAAAACAAATAAATGCAATTTCACAATAATCTTATGGGGAGATCGGAATATTCAAACTGTTTTTTTTTCAGGTACCCCCAGCCTAAGGAAGCAACGCACAAAATTAGAGGAAAGTCGGACATCTTAGAAATGCTATTCGGTCCAGTAGATCAAGAACTGCTAGTCGTAAAGAGCTTTTATTTCTTCTTTTATTCCGCTTTCGGATCTCTGTTCCCGCTGATGGGCGTATACTTCAAGCAAATGGGGATGAATGCAACTCAAAGCGGTTTCCTAATAGGTTCCAGACCCTTCGTGGAGTTTCTGTCTGCTCCATTTTGGGGCAGCTTAGCCGATAGGTGGCAGAAGGGGAAGATACTACTGTTAGCTTCCTTAGCTTCTTGGATAATATTTACAGTTCCTCTGGGATCTATCCAGCCTCCCGCGACTTCTTGTATACAAATAAAGAACCGTACGGCTATTTTGACGACACCTGAAGTGGACATGAGGATCATGAATAAGAGATCAGCACCGGACAATACTTATGAGTTTCTTAGTCCGGTTTCAGGACCTCTGGATTCTGAGAGGTAAGAAACTGGAGATTGTAATAATGTTAGATAGAATATGAGTAGATAAGCTATGTCGATTCTGCTCCATATACCGGGTAGGAAAGTACCGATGGTCTATCTGAAGTTACGTGAGAGCGATAAAGTAAGCCATAGAAATCCATGTGATAGACAAGGATGGGTATAGTGAAGGCGTCTAATAGTCACCGCCCATTTCGCCCTTCAACAAATAAGAAGTGGATCTTATTTGTGGAAGGGCTAAATGGGCGGTGACTATTAGACGCTTTCATTATAGCCATCTTTCTCTATTGCACAGATTTCTATGACTTTCTTTATCGCTCTCACGTAACGGCCGATGAACCATGGGGACTTTCCGACCCTGTAGACCATCGGTACTTTCCTACCTGGTATGAAGTACATTTTAATTTAAAGCTTTTTCAATTGCAAACACAATCACATATACTTTCGTTACATTTTATAAGCAATGTGTCGGGAAAAAATAAAATAAGGAAATGTTTACTGAAACTTTAATGTATACATTTTCTTTTTACTTGATAAGCCGCAATAACAGTTCCATACCTATCAAATGCCATACTCAAAGGCCTCAAAAAACAAAAGTCTGGGTTGGAATTATTGGGGATCCCATAGTAGGTCCTATATTTTTCAGTGAAAATGTAACCGGACAAACATACCTAACTATGCTCCAAGATGAACGGGTTCCTGCTTTAGCGGTTTTTATTCTCAAAATTTGGATCCCGATTTATTTGACCAACGGATATGGTTTCAACAAGACGGGGTACTACCACATTTTGTTTAAAAATGTAGGTACGGATCTATCTCAAGGAAATGTGTCCGAATAGGCGGATTGCAAGGAGGGGTCCAATTGAGTGGCCAGCAAGATCAGCCGACCTTACCCCATTAAATTTTTTATGGGGATATTTAAAAAGCAAGGTTTATGCTACTAAACCTAATGACATCGCCGAACTTCAAGAAAAATCAAGGATGAAATTAAGCAAGTAACGCCGGAAGTGTTACAAAATGTTCGGAATGCTTTTTATTATCGATTAGGGTATTGTCAGCAACAAATTTCATTATTTTATTTTTTTCCGACATACTTCTTACAAAAAGTAATGAAAAAATACGTAATTGTATTTGAAATTGAAAAAGCTTTAAAATAAAAAAATTAATCAACCTACCCTTCCATTAAAAAAAAGTTGGGGGTTGCTACAACTCCCCACATAATTAAAAAATAAATAAATACACCTCTTTGTAATATACCCCACTGAAAATAAAAATTGACATGTCTCAGGAAGTTTGCGACAAACCTTTATTTATTACGTTACAGAATTTGTTCCAGTTAAACTTTCCACTCTGTATATTAAGTGTTTAGTTTTTGAACCCCGTCGCAAGCATCTCGATTATTGTATGAAATACAATATCGGCCGTATACGTTTAAAAACCGCAGAATCAATCAAAGACGAATATAAATTTGATCTACCTCTTTTCTTTTTAATGTCGAGAAATGAAAATTTGGAAGACCTATGAATTGTAACTATTACAAGAAAAGTTTGTTATAAATGACTGGCGTGGTTAAATATTTTTTAAGCACAACTGACATTTTTTAAGTAGTTCAAATAACGTAGTTACTTTTTTATTTTTACATTAACTTTTATGTGACTTTAATTCTGTATTTAGTTCATTATGATTTTTGCCTGTTCCAGCCACATAAATAATATCTTTTAGTATCTAGTCAGAGGCGTCAATATGGAATAAACAGATGGTCTAATTCGCAAAAGATTCGTCAATTTCATAGTTTCGTTAATTTAGAATCTATAAATGTATATCCAGAAAAATATGTTTAAAATGTTTTTATTAAAAGTACAGACGAAATTAAAATTTGTCACAAGAATCTCGAATTCTGTATATCTAATAGTTTCCGAGATCTCTGTAATGATAATCAAATTTGGTGCACATTGTATACAGTGTCCAGAAACGAATGAAACCGGTTTAGGTTACGTTCTTCAAAAAGTCTCTCGAGCCTCCGAAAAAATATAGTTTATGTATTTAAGAAATTTCAGTTTTCAACGTATAGGGCTTTAAGAAGGTTTATTGGGTACGCAGGTACGTCTAAAGTCTAACGATAGTTTCTGTACATTAGCTAGTGACTAAAGCAGTAAGCTTTTAGATTTGGCAACGTTGCACTTGGCTGGCGCGCTCAGCTCGGCGTTTGCTCGCTCCCGTTCGAATATTCTGTTTGTTTGGACACTGCGAATTTCAAATAATACGCTACGTTGAGACCGCGGCGTTGCCGATATCACGCATATGGAGAAAAAGTTAGTCAACGACAGCAGTTTGAAGGAGAATTATTATAAATTATGTATCTTACAAGTTCCTAATCGATTTCTACAAGCTGTCATACGGTTCCTTAGATATCGGTTTCCTATTTATGTAAGTTGCTGTGGAAACAGTTCGTCAGTTGTTGCGCATTCTAAGTGGAAAGAACAAAAAAATCTGCATTCTCATAAGACTGTACTAAATCGTGAAAAATTATTTTATTAATATTTTGTCTCTTAGGTATCCAAACTAGTCATAATTTTCTTTGAGGATTTTCTTCATATTAATAAGCTTATATTATTTTTTTTATGAATATTTGTTCGTCAATTCCAAATCAGATAAACCTCCTTAAATATTGTATGCAGAATTACATACATTCAGAGAACTTTATCTCAGTAGACGTTGACTTTTGAACAAAGTTAAATTGGTTGTATTCAATATACAGTTACAAGTTATAGGTTACAGGTTACATACAAAAAAAAAGGTTCGATAAGTTCCAAATATCTACAAATAATAATTGTAATTCGTTTCTCTCTGGGACGATGCATTTTAATGACATGGGACCGCTATACCATTTATACATCAAATTAAGTGATATTTCAAAGCTTGTTTGCATTTTCCAGAAATCTGTCAATAAAAACTTTAGGCATTTTTATCTGTTTTAGCAAAAAAATAAACTCATATTCAAGTTTGTCATCCACGAACAGTCGCAGTTGCCAAATTTTAATAAATAGAAAAATTTTTATTGTTCATATACCCAATATGCTCCAAACGTCTTGTTTCTGAAAATTCATTTCTGGAAATACCTTTTCTAGATGTATTTCGGAAACGGCAGAATTAATTTCAGAATGCGTTAATGTTAATTCAAATGCTTATATTTCAATTCAATTTTAGAAACAGTTATTTAAATTTCAAAGTTCGTAAATTTGATTTATACTCCAGTTATATCTCAGAAAAGATCAAATCTATGATAAAAAATATTTTTCTAAAATTATTCAATTGATCAAGTTGTATTTTAAATCTAACTGTACATCCATTATATGGGAAATGAAAATTTGCAAATGTTAGTCTATTTCCATAATCACTAGCCGATAGGCAAAATCAATTAAAAGCAGAAGAATAAATATAAAATAAGCCGGTTCTTTCTTGGAATGAACTAACAAAAATTTACTTATGTCGAAAATTAAATAACCAATTACACCCGCTTCTACAACAAAGAAATAAAAATATGTATGTATAGATATAAATTTTTAATAAGCACATTAAATAAAAAAAAAAAATTAATTATTATAGTCTATTTTCAAATATTCATTAAATGAAAATTATATTGTCAAGTTTACCGTTTAAAATACTAAAATAACTGGTAAAAAAATATTATTATTAATTGGGGCTACTCGCTTAGCTGCTGAGAGGGAAAAACACACAAATCAATCAATTTTTACAGTTTATTATAAAATAACATACACTCCAGGGGGTTGCTTATCAAGTGGAGGCTCCTGGTCATCAACTGGCTCTCAAGGTGGTTTCGTAGTCCAATCAGCTGGAAGTTTTGCCTGTGAAGTTTTAGGGGAGTTTTGAAAATTGGTATATTTATAGATTTTGACGTGCTCTTTCCGAATTTTTACTTTGCCACCTCTTTTTGTTCTGGAAGTAGCCGCCATATTGGAAAAATGGCGCTCCAAAACAGTTTCCTTTCCAACTCACTTTACGGTGAAAATAGTTATGTAATAAATTAAACTAGAGAACATTTCCTATAATTTATGTATTAACCTTTTTTCTGCGATTTTAATAGTTTAGACGTACGAGTGCCACAAAGTCTACTCCAACACGCGTATTGGCCAACAAACTCATTTCTACACCACCATGAGGTAGAGTTCCTGGCGCGTTTTTTTTAGTGGTATACCCAGTAGGCATAATCCACATGAGATGCACTGTTGACTAAATTTAATGGATTCTCCTTCGCTACGCTATCCCTGATGGACCAGGTTTTGCGAGTCCTTCGTCTTCAGAACTGAGCAAAACCTCACGGATAGGAAGATCTTCCAAGTTATCCGCGATAGGGTTCTTTTCTGCGACTTCACCTTCTTCCTCGATTTTGTCGAAGATTTGCTGAATAACTGTCTCCGTATGTTCCTCTTCATCACTGTCTTGCAGATCAACATCCAAATTATCGCAGGTAGTATTGCAAATCGCGCAGATATCGGAGCAATGTAGTCCAGCCTTTCTGCATCCTCAGGCTCCTTTTTTACATTTGCAAGAAATTAGTTTTAGCATGTTTGCTGGAGCTGGGGGCTCGAGTGTGGTGACAGGAATTAGCCCATTCTTGCTTTTTTTTCATCCCCACCGCTTTGCATTTTTTCCAATTCCATACCACTGCTGAACCTGGTGATAGGTTCGGAACGAATGTTGTCGTGCTTCTGCTTCTGTCGGTGACAGAGACGGAATATTTCTTTTTAAATGCTGACTTCGAGAAGCATGTATATCTGTAGGTGTTTTTTTATTTTCTATTACATTATTATGAAAGTATTTATGTAATCTCGTGCTCAAAACGATTATATAAATTGATTGATTGATACAATAAAGTGTGTGTGACTCTGTGTCGATAGATGTGAGAAAGACAAGGTCGTAATCCTAGATTTTGTGCACAAATATCTTTTACCGATGAAACTAACTTTTCAAGGTATGCCATGATGAATTTTCATAATGACCATATATGAAAACCCACATGCAGTGGACATCAGTCGTCATCAATATCAGTTTTATCTGAATGGGTGGATGGGAATTACGGGTGACTTTTTGATTGGTCCATTCTTTCTTTCCAGGCACGTAGAAATGTATCCACCAATACGGCTTGAAGAAGTCCCTATTTTGTTAAACAACAAATGTTGTACATGCACGATTGTATTCCAGCCCATTTCAGTTTAGTTGCTTGGCAGTATTTGTATATTGCATATCCAAATCGTTTAAAAGAAAAGTACAACCTTGACCCATTTGTTTATCTGGAGATATCTTAAACAATTGGTTTATACAATTCTAATTGAAAATTTGGGGGAATTACGTAATTGTATTATCGTGTCTTGTTGGACAATTCCATAGACTCCAGGCATTTGTGAATGTATTCGCCAATCAATACGTTGTTAGTAATGAAGTTAAAAATTGCCATTTCCAACAGTTTTTATAAATGTATATTTACAATTTTTTGAATAAATTATAAAAAAGGAAACTTATTTCATTTTTTTAATTAAAAAAGAACATTTCGGTGAAGACAAAAGTTTTTAAGCGAGCCAAGTTTTTAAATGATATTTTTTTTATTTATAAATTTTCTACTCCGCGAACATACAAGGAAAAACCCATTAAGGGTAACGATTTTCTAGGGTTGCAGATGATTAAAAATAATAGTGTAGCAAATCTTTGGATAAGATAAAATAAGATCCCAAATTGTATTTTTCCATGTTTCTCCAACTATGAGAAATAAAGTAAAAACTGAACGTTAACCTACCCAGTGTAAATCCGATAGCAGGCGCTTTCGTAAAAAGTTTATACAGGGTTATCCAAAAGTCCCGGTACAGCAGAATAACTTTCGAAGAATGCATTTTGGGAAAAATGTTTCAGACAAAAGTAAGGATTTTCCCTAGCTAGAGAACATTTTGACCACAGGTTGTAAGCCTTGTCTTAACTGGCTGAGATTGTTAGCCATTCCTTAACTGTCCGGGATCGTTAGCCTTACCTTAACTGGCCGGGCTATCTCCTTGCCTTAACTGACTGGGATCGTTAGCTACACTTAGTAATTGAAAATTTTTAAAATTCTTGGAAAAACCTTTTTAAAATGATCTTCAAATACTGGTTCAGGGCCAAGAGCTTGATTATGGTCATATTTGTACATTTGTTTTTCCGTTCTTCCTAACTTATCAAAAAAGTAATGGTTAATGTAAACAAATTAACCTGACTTTGACATGATGTTGAGGGTCATTGTCAAAGTCGTAGTCAAGGTCGTACTCGAGGGGAAAACCGCTGGGGAAGTTTTTGTACATGTCCCCAGGAAGTCGAGAAGAAGTTGGAGGAAGTTATAAGAAAGTTGAAAGGAACTGGGCTTTGAAACTTTGCCACAAAGTTATAAAATTAGAAACATGGCAAATGAGCAATAGTCACGAAAACACCGCTAGACCCTGAGCAATTTCTAGGATTGAAAAGATATTTTGGATTATATTAATTACGCTCTTATAGATACTTAGACAAAACACAATTGATTGTATTTACGATGAAAGTTTGGGTTTTTGGGCATCAGGGAGAGAAATATCTCACATTTTCATCCATACAAATCTCAAAACTGACCAAAATATGTAAAAATGGTTATTACCGAGGTTAATCGTGGTAGGAAAATGCGGAGAATGTTAAACATTTATGTGGAGGAATTACGAAGCAGTCTACAGAAGGTCCGAGGAAGTTTGAGGAAGTATAGATAAGTTTTTGTACAGAATTCAGGGAGTGGTTTACCCCTCGGTCGTACTTGAAAGTTAAATTTCAACTCTTTCCATATCCGTAATAAAAAATAGGGGTTACCAATGAAAAAACAACTTTGACCTTGTAATGACCTTGAAGGTCATTATCAAATTTATTAATTTTATTAATTAATTTATTTATTTTACGTCCAAATATGGTCTTGACCAAAATTTCCTGCCCTTTCCAAATCCGCAATAAAAAAATAAGGATTCCCATTTAAAAAACTTAACTTGACCTTCAAATGACTTGAAGGTCAAAGTCAAGGTCAAATTCAAGGTCACCATCAGATAGCCAGGGAAAAATCCTTACACTTTCGTCTGAAACATTTTTTTCCAAAATGCATTCTTCGAAAGTTTTTCTCCCGTACCAGAACTTTTGGATAGTCCGGTATAGAAGATCCCTCTTAGTTTTTGGCAAGGAATCGTTTCTTAAAGTTTTTCTCAATAACAAAGAAACATCCTGTATATTTAGTTGCTATGGTTTAACTTTGCTTTCTTACTTTTTTTTTAATGTTTCCACAGCGTTTGCTCTCGTTACAATTAAAATATCACTTTTTCGGATCTTGTGGGCAAATTTAGCTTCGTTATATTTCTGGTTATCACAATTTCAACTAATGTTGTGTTAGTCATTACTTTTCTACATTGCTGTAAAAACAAATATGTACTTACGTATATTTGTATGTTTATTTTTTCTCTTATACCTCATCATTAACACAATTATCATCGTTGACGTCTTTGTTTTTTGTTTTCCTTTCACCATCATTTATACCACTTGCCAACTTAGGACCAGGACATACAAATGGTCTCCCTAAATTCCGTCTAGCCACTCTTCCAGTTGCTGCTTCGTTCGATTTGATTGTAAAGGATTTTAAATATATTCCCGACGATCTGATACAATCAGTCAATAATGAGCTACATTATCTTTGGAACCTGTCATTAGCTGAATATACATGAGCAGTTTTATCGACCGATTTGGCGATTTATCGTTGAATTGCATAAATTGACAAAAGACAAAACTGTTAGTTTGGGTCATCAAGAAAAATTGTAAAATACCCAAAATTTTGGCGGATAAATTGTTGCCAAATAATTTGGTGCGATTATTTTGTTACGTACACTAACACAGCGATCAAACGGCAGATAAGTCTGTCGTGAATTATCGGGCGATATTTTGTGGAGCGTCATCTGCGTGTTAGTACGTGTTGCAGGAAATATCGGCGCGGTATGTTGTTACGGCTTATTTTTCATTTAGAGATTGGTCACTAAAAATTAAAATAATAATACCCTGTAAATATGTATGTAGATATCTATATTTAATAGCTCAGTAATATAATTCCTTAGTGAAACATAGTTTTTATAGTTCGCGTTATTTTTGTTGGTAAAGTCTATTATCCATTTAGGTGTAAATAAATAAATAAATAAATAAATAAATAAATAAATAAATAAAGGATAATTAGATTAAATTCTTCTGTAATATTTTTCGATTGTTTAGGATTACCAAAAGTGTACTTCCCATCTTCCTGGTATATAACTATGTTCTTTCCACATTCATATCCACAAATCAGTCAACTCTTGACATAGTACCTCGAATAGAATTTGTTCATTTTTGTTTATGTTTTCGTAGAACACTCAAGCTAACTACACTTACGAGTAACAAATAAATTGCTCTGATTTTTTAAACTTCCAAAAGATCAATGATGACGGTATAATCTTACCAAATTTAGAGATAAATCTTTGTGAATGACACAGACCTAACGAATAAACTGTCAAATAAACTTTGTTCAATAATTCAAATCAATAAAACTAATAATTATTATTATATTATTATTTGCATTAGTGTCCTCTCTAAGATTTGTCTGAAATATTTGTCTGAAAGATTTTTCTTAACGATTTATCTGACGATTATTTGGTACAATTTATCGTTCCAATAAGTCTTTGCGTGTGTATTCAGCTATTAGTGTTGCCCTCAGATCTTTAACTAGCTCGATAATACGTAGCGTTTTGATTACTCTCATCTTACTACCATAGTGGCTGCTTTATCTGTTTTTGCTTATTTTTTCCTTGCTATATATTATATTTATATAATTCTTATTACTGTTTTGGGCACTGACACATAGTTTACTGGTTAATTCGCTAGTCTTATTGCTTGTCTTCTTTTCATTTATTTGCCTATTGTATCTAGGACAACTGGTCAGTTGTTAATGCTAATGAGCTCTTTGTAGTGTTTTGAGTCTCTTAATAGGCTATTGTTTACGTTAAGCTTATGATTATTATATATTTTGCGGTTGCTTAGATTGCTTTTACCATTTTTTTTTTCATTCACTAACTGCACTAATTTAAATGTGATATAATCTAATTTACAGTTGGTAGTTGACATCAGTACTTAGAATATTTCAATTCGTTTGAATGCTACCTGATCTCGCTGCTGTAGCTGAAAATTGTACGAAACTAAATATCAAACAGAATACAGAACAAGTCATCCGCTACTTATAGATTATGTTGAAATCTTCGTGTATGGCAGTTTTTGCTTTAATTCCAACTCATTTAGCGAAATATTGAAAATTGATAAAGGTATAAAATTTCTAATTTATTTATAAATTTGTCTTTAAAATCTGGTTCGAGAATATGTCATTCCAATCTCTAGTAGTTTCTAAGATAGCCTGAATTCTCATGTTCATATACTTAAAGAGAGAAAAAAACTGTACACCCCTATAATTAAATTACAAAAAGCTCTGGAATTTCCAACCTGTGCTTACAGTAAAAAGCTATCTAGTAATTAATCCTCGCAGGAAGCGTTTCCTGATTGTCATTAAATAAGGCTTTATTGACTTTCAGGGTCCAAGTACATTAAGAATTTAGTTCGTTCTTCCTTCTGCTTGTTGATTTATAAAGCACACTTTTACACTGATTAACAGTCAGCTGGCTTTTGATGAATCAATACGTCTGTGTATTTACTTCGTGCAAATAATAAAGACTTGGAAATTCTTGTATCTTCTCTTTATAAATTTTAAAAAATATAACGATTAGTTTGCTTCGGCAAAAAATTGTGTTATGTTGTGTATCGGGTAATTGAGCTTTTATTTTTAAGTATTGCCCTTTTTGGGCATTTTGTGTATATTTGGCTACTGCAAATTATGATTATTTTTAATTGTAACAGCTTCTTAACAAATGCTACAAAAAATCTCTCATAATATCTTTTATTTTTATTTGAAATTAGAGACCGACCGAATGTGATTTTTTTGGCCGAAGCCGAAGCCGGAACCGAACTTCGGTTTATGGGCCACCTTCGGCCGAAGCCGATGCCGAAGCCGAAGATATTTTTATTAACTTGAAAATTTTAATTAAAAACAAAAATATGATAAGATAACATTAAGGTAGGTCAAAAATAAATGCATAATGTTTTGGAAATATAATGTATACAGGGTGATTCAGAACTTATCCAAAAAAAAAATCTGGATGTACAAAGGACTTATAAATAGAATTTTGTAAAGAAAAAATCAAAAAGGGCAGTTCGAAAATGATTTAAAAATACATTCCTGCACGGCACTGAAAACTGGTCCACTGTAAAACCTGACCTCGCACAATGCGACCGACATAGCGGTGTGATAAAAACGGACAAAAACTTTCGCAAGGAAAAAAATAAATGAATTTTATAGCATCTATTTTATATCGGCAAATTAATTTGTGTTTTTAAATAATAAAATCATTTGACATACCCGATGTTACAACAACAATTGTTCAAAATTTTATCCACCAACGTGTAAACACATTTGGGTCCGTCTTACTTAGTTTCTACGAACTAACATAAATGTTGTCTTACTTCACTATAACACAAATGCTTCACCATAATGCAAATGTTGTCTTGTTTCACCATAAATTAAAACGATATCCATCAACTGCGAGTTGCTATACACGCAAATCATTTTTGACACTAACTACTAAAAAACTATTGTAAACACCACAGATAATAGGTAAACACTATCGCAAAGACGATTGCAAAATCGGATTTCAGTATTCGGAGTCGCTTAGGCCACGTGGCTTTCCACGCGTATTGCGAATGACGCTAGAGACTACAGTTGTCCAGCTATGTAGTGGTTGATTGTACTATAACTTCAATAATTTTATTCTCGGAAACTATAAGGATTATATAAAAATTTTTTTACGATATTGATTCCATTTCTCATGCCGCATCTAATCCCAAATTTTTATGGATGTGAATCACCCTGTATAATTGTAGCGTTCTTGCCGAGTGTATGCTACTAGATTGTATTTAAACGAGGTATTGATTTTTAAGACATTTATTTCAGGACACACACAGCTTATATATGTATTTACAATTAACAAAAAAGGTATTCTAATACAAACATGAATAACGTACAGAGCGCGACAAATACAACATACATTAAATTACTAAGGGAGCGAAAGATAAATAATTTTCATTTACCCCAATAATAAACAATAGTAAATAAAACAACAAATTTTAATAATAAACATAAAACATAACGGGTAACGGGTATTCTAAAAAAGATATAGAAAAATAAAAAGCATGACACTCGACGTCAACGGCTTTGGCGAAAAATTCGGCTTAATTTTGGCCGTAGCCGATTTTTAGCCGAAGGCTTAAATAATGGCCGAATGTGGCCGAAGTCGATGCCGAAGCCGATTAATCGGTCGATCTCTATTTGAAATACATACTGAATAGAACTCGAGTTTCATTTCAGATGTGATTAGAAAATTGTCTAACTTGTTATTATACAATAAAAAATTACATAGTGTGTAAGTTCAAGGTTATTTATGTTCAAATTTATTTTGATGTTGAATTTTGACTAAACTTCAGATTTTAACAAAAAAAAAATTAGTTTGCCAACACAATTTTTAGTTGAAAGAACTAAAATATGTGGGAATAATATGTAAAAGTCACTCCATTCATTGTTAATATTACGCATTTCTGAGTAGGAAGAACAAAAAGTTCTGTATAAACAGATACTGAAGCGCAGTTTGAACTCTGCTATTAGACTACAATTATTTTACTAGTTGTAAACAAGAACTGAGTTGTCCAATTTTTTGCATTTGCAGGTATCTTTTCCTTAATAATCACCAACAGCTAACATAAAGCCTTAAAGCAACATACAGGGTGACGGTACTGGAAACTGGCCACTGGAAAACCTGACCTTGCGCAAAGGCAAAACATGCAGTCGGCGACCGGCACGGCGGCAAAGTGTAATAAAAAATGAACTGAAAAAATTGAAAGAATTTCTTTCCCATGGAAAGAAATAAATCAAATTTTAAAACACCTATTTTCTATCAGCAAATTCAACTGCTTTTGCCGTTATTCTTAGTATTAATTAATAAAATTAATTTGTGGTTTTAATTAATAAAATAATTTGACATACGTGATGTTACAACAACGGTTTAAAATTTTGTTCACCGACGTATAAACACATTTAGGTTCGTTGTACAGGGTGATTCACTATATTTTGACCCCCCTTTAACTTTTTTGTGTTAAGAGTTATAAAAAAATGTGAAATACAAAAGTTGCACGATTTTTTATGAAGTTTTCGAAAATGATAGTAGAAAAACAAATGAAGTTCAAACAAAATGGCCGCGGATGTTACTTTGTTAATTTAAATGGAACACCCTGTATATTTTTACATATTTGGATAGAACGTTCATTGCCGAGCATAGTCATATAGGGTTTGTTGGGTCCATCACTAATAATAAGCGAGATAATATTATAAAACTAAAATATGTTGTTTTTTTTTAAGAAAATAAGACATCTTGTATTTGTTAGACCTCTTTTAGGTATTTCTGTCTTTTTTCCAATTACGTAAGGATTTAGGTTTAGTTGTAATATATTTTGACATATCGGACATTGATATAGTCCAAAATGCGTATAGGTATTTTAACTATATCTCACTAATTAGACCGTGTGAGGCCAATTACTCATGGACAATGTTATGTGGTAGGTCGTGATAGTGACAGGGAGTAATGTCATGATAACATTGTTATTGTTTGACAGTTTGTATTATTATTTAATTAAAATGGGTTACACAGAAGTAGAAAATTGAAATATTATTAGGAATTAAAATAAAGTATGGAGAATATATTAACTACTCTATCTTAATTTCTATAATATTTAAATTTTCTACTTCTGTGTAACCCATTTTAATTAAATAATAATACAAACTGTCAAACAATAACAATGTTGTCATAACATCACCTGTCACTGTCACGGCCTGACATATAACATTATCCATGAGTAAATAGGCCTCTCACGGTCTAATTAGTGAGATTTAGTTAAAATACTTATACCCATTTTTGGACTATATCAATGTCAGATATATCAAAATATATTACAATCAAATCTGTAAATCCTTACGTAATTGGAAAAAAGGCAGAAATGCCTGAGAGACGTCCAACAATTACAAAATATCTTATTTTCTTAATAAAAAACCTTCTTTTCGTTTTTTAATATTGTCTCGCTTATTGTTAGAGATGGATCCAACAAACCATATATGACCGTGCTCAGTAGGGAACGTTCTATCCAAATATATAAAAATATACAGGGTGTTCCATTTAAAATAACAAAGTTAACATCCGCGGCCATTTTGTTTGAACTTCATTTGTTTTTCTACTATCATTTTCAAAAACTTCATAAAAAATCGTGCAACTTTTATATTTCACATTTTTGTATAACTCTTAAATCAAAAAAGTTAAAGGGGGGGTCAAAATATAGTGAATCACCCTGTACCCAGTTTCTACGAACTAACACAAATGTTGTCTTGCTTCATCATAACACAAATACTTCACCATAACACATATACTTCACCATAACACAAGTTCTTCAACCTAACACAAATGTTGTCTTGCTTCACCATAAATTAAAACGTTAACTCCGAGTTGCTGTTCACGTTAGTCATTTCTGACACTTGAAAAAGTAATGTAAACACCATCGCAAAATGTAAAAAAATCGCAAATATTAAAATTGGATTTCAGTATTCGAAATCGCCTGGGGCCACGTAGAGAGAGAGAGAGCAAATTACGTAAAGGTTTTAAATAGTACAACTTCAATAATTTTTTTCTCGGAAACTATAAGAATTTTACTAAATATTTTTTTACGATATTGACTCAATTTTTCATGACGCATCTATTCTTTTTTTTTTGATAAGTTGTGAATCACCCTGTATATTTCAGTAGTCACTCATCTGTCTAATGAATTCTGAATACAGATGTATCTGGTATCGTTTTAAATATATTTTTATACATAGTCATTTGGATAGTAGTCTTTAATAAGTCTAGAAAAATATCACTTTCGAATCAACTGAACCGTGAGATCGGATAAAAAAATCATAACTTGAGATTAACTAACTGTTTTCCTTTCTTCCTTTCTTGCCAACAGGAGAGACTATTGATTATTTCACATTGATATTTAATTCACATCAGAAGTTACTTTCAAAGTATTCATAGACACATAACAAATAAAGAAAAATGAAATCAATATATATTCATTAGTTGATAATGACATTTTTGTATAAAACAAATACAGGAGATATTGGTTACTTTGGATAAAATATTAGCTTTATTGATTTTATTCGCTTTTCACAATGCTGGATACTTTATAATGGAATTATCCTCTTTTTTTTACTGTTACCATTTTATTCATTTGATAATGTCAAATAATTTTTCAGTTTCACAAGGGAAACCAGATCGATTCCACGAAACTCATACGACGGCGAGTCACCAGTAGAAGTATCTTTCGCATCGAACTACAAACCAAAGGAACACGAGGGTTGGGTTCAACCAATCATTTCTTCCATAGTTTACCGCACCGAGGACATACAGAAAGCATTCTTCCTTCTGCTTCTCTTGGTAATAATTGGAGAATTCTTCAGCGCTCCAGCTATAACCCTTGCAGATTCAGCTGTGATAACCCTTCTAGGAGAGGACGCAGATACTTACGGCCACCAAAGAATGTTCGGATCCTTAGGTTGGGGTCTGGCTATGTTCTTCGTGGGGATAGCTCTAGATCATTCCACAGCTTTTCCAAACCATCCTTGCGGTCCCGATAAGAAGGAGAAGAATTACACGATTTGCTTCGCTACGTTTTCTGTTCTGATGGGAGCGGCCCTTATTTCCGCAACTCAGATTTCTTTCAAATACGACGAACCAGTTGCTCCTCCTGTCGATGAGGAGAAGCAGCAGCCTATGAGCCAGGAAGACAAAATGCAAGCGCAGCTGGCTGAGCAACTTAATCTTCCTTCTTTGGCGGATACAAGAGCTGCAGATATACCGGCACCTAAAGAACAAAAGGTAACCACCATTTACAGTTACAACTTAATCTCGGTTTAAAGGCTGTGGGATGAAATATTGCAGGTCATATCAAAGCGTAGTGTAAATATTATAGAAAATTTCATTTTGTAAAATATATTTGAAGAAAGAAATTAATAGTTGTAAAAAATTAAGCAAGTGGTAATAAACAGCTCAACGAAGTATATAAATTGAATAAAGTGAATGAATAAGTGAAGACAATCATGTTATTTAAATATTTCTGTAAATTAAAGTAATCAGAAATAAATGGGGCACTTTAAAATTTTCTGTAATCTCAGGAATGGAATCTTTAGGTACTACAGAAGATATATCTAGTTAATTTGAAGCAAAACCAGTATATTGAAAGTATTGTGTTCTGTTTGACAAATATATGAAAAAAAAAGTGGAACAAGGAGTATTAGTTAATTTATTGAGTAAAATGCTTACTAAATGTTTGAAAATGTTTCTGTTAATTACGTCGACATGATTATTGCTATCCATATTTCCAGCAAAAAAATTTGCAAAAATGTAATACGTAGCAATATCTATGTTAGAAGCAGAAACACTGCCATAAATCGCCGTAGATGACAATCATTTGTTTTGTTGTAATTTCTCTTATAGTCTGTTTAGAAATGAAAGAGAGTAATAAAAGCTTATTATGTATGCAAATCGTAAATAAATGTAGTACTGGTGCTTATATTCAATATTTTTATATTATGTATTATCGGTATGGATGAGGTGTACTTTTAAAAAAACTTTGTGTGACCGGGTTGTACTAAATTGTAGCAGGTAGCTAAAATTTAATCCCCGACAATCCGTCTTTGTCTATGCCGCTTCAATTTCTCGGTCCATTTCTCTTATAAGTAAACAATATAAAAACAGCATTTCAAAACATGAGGCTACTTTAAGCATCATAACCGGGTTAAGAGGGTTTTTAGTAATTCAAATAAAATTATTCAATATTATTATCAAAATATTTATTTAAATTTAATGAATAGACTTTTATTCCACACAAAAATATATGTATTTTGAAAATTCAAATTATGGTGAGTAAATGTAGTGTTGTATAAATGTACAATAAAGAAAATAAAAAAGTAGGTATATTAAAATTCATCCTCTGAATATTCTGATGAATTATCTTCGTCTCCTAGATTGATAACGATAGGTTCCACAGTAACGTCAATTAAATTATCGAGTTCCCACATTTTCTCCTCTTCTTTTTGTACATGATGTATACATCTTTGCCAGTTATCTGCAGTTACTCGTTCCAAGGAATTTTTTAACAAAATTTTCACGTCACTTAATTTAAACGTCGTATTATTTCGCGCTACATCTCCTTTTACCTGCGCCCAGACTAATTCGATTGGGTTAAGTTCACAGTGATAAGGTGGTAACCGTAGTACCGTTATTTGGCGATTTGTTGCCATTTCATCGATAACATATTTTTTCTGATCTTTATTAAGATTGACAAGTGTCAAAAGTTCCTTTTTCACCATATTTGTTTCAAAAGAAATGTTTTTTCCGGATAACCATTGAATTATATCGGCTTTCCTCCAAGCAGTCGTAGGCGTCCGCTCGGTCTGCCGTGAATGGTAACTGGCATTATCCATGACAATTACAGACCCCGGAGGAATAAGATCCAACATCTGTGTAAAATACTCTTCGAAAACATCTGCGTTCATGTCTTCGTGATAGTCACCTGTATTTTTAGATTCAAATAAAAGTAAACCGCCATCTACAAAACCACTGGCACTACCTATATGTGTCACTATTAATCTTCGCCCTTTACCTGAAGGTGCCTTGAACCCTGTTGAAAGTCCATCCAAAAATGCTTGTCGAAAACTTTTTACATTTTTATCTTGCCATACTTTTGTTACAGTATATCCCTCGTTGACCCAAGTTTCGTCTAGATAATAAATATTCCTCCCTTCGTCACGGAATTTTCTAATTGATCTTAAGTAGGATCTTCGCCAACAAATAATTTCATCTTTATCGATAAGAACTGACTTCCTGTTCTGCTTTTCCCAGCAAAAATTCAACTCTCGTAAGACGGCCCATAATTTGCTTCTACTGATTTTTGGCAAATCGTTGTCCTCTGAAAGTTCACTTAAAATTTTGTTTAGCGTTGGTATTTCTTTTTTAAAATAAAATGAGTGTACTTTTCTGCGAATGACATTTTTGAAGAAATCATCTATAACGACTTTTGACCTCCCTGTAGATGATTTTGGGGGATTTACAGTATCTTGTTCATTTTTTGTTTCCTTTAAAAGTCTGTAGATAGTCGATTTTCCAATCCCTGTCATTTTGGAACACTTTTCCACGATGTCGTCAACACTGTTGGTAGGATTTTGGTGTTTCAATGCATTAAATACATTTAATATAATAATCTTCTCATTCTGAGACAGCGCACATCTTTTCACGCGTTTAGCAGGTACGTAATCTGATAAGCTCGACATTTTACCCAAACAATATTATATCCACTGGCACAATAGTCACTAAACACAAGTCGAATTTTACTCTACTGCACTAGCACGTCTTCGTATATTCAGCTCTAAGACTGGATTGATCTGTCACAATACACTGGCTCCTGCCCTATGATGTATCCAGTAAAATATACTAATGTACACCCATTACCTGTTAGCATTAGTGTTACCCGATAATTACCTGAAACGAAATATTACCACGCCCATGGCCGGTTCTTATCTCGGGGTTTTATTACTCTCTTCCATCTCCAAACAGACTATAGCTAAAGATATTGTGGGTAGCAACTACTCTGGGGCATCTTTCATTTAAATACAGACAAATTTTTACAAAACTTTGAATTATTTTCGATATATGCTGAAGCTGAAGAACTTCATACACAAATATGTGTTCATAGTTTACCAAATCTAAGGAAAAAAAGGAAAGCTTTTTTAACGATTAAAATTTCTTATGTTTCATGTGATGCATTTCATCATCATGAAGCTTTTCCAAGCAAAGCTGCTGAATTTGTTGCTTATAGTATACATCAACATTTGCATTTTCATTAAAAAAAAGTCCTATAAATCGACGACAATTTTAACAAGATGTAGAGTTGGTTCACGTAAAACATGAGGATATTTTGCATTCCGTTGCAAGTTTGTGGGTTGAAATAACAATTTAAATGAACCATGCCTCATCCGAAAAGAGTTACATCTAACGTATTGTCATTATACAAGTTCTTTAAACCAGTTGCAGTACTAAATACGTTTTTCAAAATCCAGTGGGTATATTTTTCTTACAACGGTAACTTTGTATGTATGAAAGTGTAGCTTTTTAAGGTTTAGTTCAGACGAAGATGAGAGTTGTTTTTCATGAGCATCTATTTATTTTCGGCTTTTTTAAACTAATATGAAAATTTTGACAAATTTTAAATAAAATAAGAGATTTCATTTTAAATCGGTTATTATTAAATTAAATATCCAATCGATTGCTAGAAATTAACAAGTTTTTTTGATACATTTAGATAAGTGTTTAATTCTTATAAATAATAATCTTTCAAAGTGTATCAAAATGGCGTCTTTTACAAAATACGTTCAAAATGTTGTCTTTGTAACTAATATATTTTTCAATGTCAAAATAATTGATGCCTACAAAAAAATAAAACAAAAGCAGGAAAAGCGGGACTGAGCCTGTCCCGCGTGGGACATTTAATTTTGGGTTAAAAATCGGGACGTCTGGCAACGCTGCTTCTTACCATCTTAAAAATTTTGTAATTTGATAAATCTATCCATAACCTTTTTTCAACTTTTAACACTCTTGCATTTAAAAAACGAAGGTTTTAAAGTCAAATGTTTTTATATAAAACAATATACTCATATTTATACTTGTCCAAACACATGTTTCGAATGTTATTGTGTAACACCCTATATGATTCAAAATTTATCTAAACGTATCATTTTACAAATTGTGATTTGTACCAAAACTGAAAAAAACTCTATAAACCATTTTCGTTAAATAGCCGATTTTATTCTGTATTTTGTACCAGAAAAGACGAAGATTTCAAAAGCAATATAAAAAATATTCTCCAAATATAGGGATTCAGGAAAATGTAGAATCAAAATTTTACCGCAATAAGCATTTATTACTATTTTTGTTAAACAAACTTCAAAATTTGCTTAGATTTAGTTTATTTGTTTATTATGAACAGCTTGAAGTAGACAAATAATAATTATTATGGAAAATACTCTGCCAAATAGAATATGATTTTTATTTCAATATCATTCAATTTTACGTAAGATTCAACATGAGTTTGAACATTTTCATTGAATTTTCATATTTTGACAGCCTATATGTCGAATATTCTTAATAATTTCACATGAATTTTTCTTTACATAATATTATTATGAATTTAATTTTAATCTTTTGTTTGCAGACTAAAATGTTTGCCCAAACAACCCGTGAAATGCCGGAATGGGTGACGGTTATAAAACAATTCAAGAATTTAAAATGCGCATCATTCCTATTTGTAGCCTGGTTCATGGGTTTCGGCATAGGTTTGATCTTCACTTTCCTATTCTGGCACCTACAGGATTATGGCGGATCGCCGACGCTTTTTGGAGTCGCGTCAGTCATTAACCACATATCAGAGATATTCGCTTACTTTTTCAGCTTCAGACTGATTAGGCAGATGGGACACGTGAAGGTTTTGTGTCTCGGTCTCATCGGAAACACGCTGCGATTTTTATACATATCTTGGTTGACGAATCCATGGTGGGTGCTGCCGTTTGAGTTTATGCAGGTAAATTTGAAACACTTAGGACATTTATATTGACCTGAATATTGCGTGCGAAGTCAATACCATCACTAAGAAACTTAAAAAATAATTTAACCATGTTTTAAATATATTAAACTTACCAGTGTCTCATTCTGTCGCAAAGAAAAGGTTGACCTTAGTATACATACTTGAATCATGAAAATGGCTTTATATGGAATTTGTCCATAGAACACATCAAACGTAACGTTTAATCGTATTTTTTTATAAACTATTTTTAAATTTCGACTGATTGTGAGACTCAAATCGACAGGTATTTAGTAAATCTGTTTTAATTCTTGAGCGTCACAATTTTTTTGTAGTGTTAGATTTCAACTAAATCTAGAAAAATAAATTTTGAAACAATTGTTAAAAAATTCCTTTGAGAACATTTTCGTAATAAATTTTATTTTAAAACTTTCTGAATTACTATTGGATACTACTGGATTATGAATGGATATGTTTTTAGTGGAAACTTCTTATTTAAGCAATTCCTCTCTGTTTTTTCATTAATAAATGAAAAGAGAGGTTACGAGAATTTAGATGAACTTCCTATCAATAGATGGCAAATTAAATAAAGCATAGTTTAGCACGTCACGACTGTACACCAAATTTATTGTGCTTTTATATATTTTTTTAACTACCAGTTAAACAACTTTCATACAAAATTTAAAAATACAAGTCATATTTTTGCCATATTTCATTTTATACTAATATATATAGATGTGGCAAACTCTTCATTCTCCTTTAACAATTCTAAAGTAAAACCACTAATGAGTTTACTTATTGATGTTCTATTAGTTACTAATAATACATATTAGACTTCCATTTTAAATCACAGACCTGTCTATTAAGTGCTGTTTTTTTTTATCACGAACTATGAAACAGTACTTAACAAATAATCTAACACGAAACTCAATCAATAATCAATTATATTATATATATTAATGTATATATAAATGAAATACATAGAAATAACTAGAATTAGATTAGAATTTTGTATGCTAATTGGGAAACAAATTATGTTAGATAGATTTTTTTACAGGAGGATTTTATTTTCCGACAAGTCAACATTTACTACGAATGGAGTTGTTAGTTACTAAAATTGTAGGTCGAAAGATAAACCAAATTACCGAATTATGAATAAAAGTCAACGATATAAAAAAATTAATGTTTGGTGTGCGATACGTTATAAACACAGTGTAAGAAACTGGTTAGTTCAGCATTTCCACAATATATGGATAGGACAGTTTGGTCCTATAAGATAGCCTGAACGCTCCCCAAGCATAACCTCTCTTGATTTCTTTTTATGGAGATACTTGAAGCAAAAAGATTATGCCCACGATTTACAAGATAATTTAAAGCTTTTAAATGAGAAAATATCAGAAGCAATAGCCGACATAAACGAGGATGTAATGTAAATGTATAACAGTAGGATGACAACACATAAAATAGTTTTGTTATTATTCAATAAATTATCTGCTTTCGTTGAATTTATAAAATTATTTTAATCATAATTTTCGCAAAAATATCAACTTTGAGATACGACGTTCAAGTTTCATATCTGGACTACTATTAACATTAGAAACAACTTCTTTCAGTAACATTTTTAAATTCCTCTCAAAAAAAACTAATACTTTATTCTTGGCACAAATTCACATTTCCTTTTTGCTAATCACCATGTATGTTATTTTGAAAGTATGGGTAGGTATAGCTAATGACTTTACACGACAAGCAACTTTTATGAAGAATGATTTTTTCCTTTAAAATGCGAAATAAGGAAAATTATAAGTATAGTTAGGTCCATCCGGGGACACACTGTTTACTTACCCCACACCATACTTTATGAATATCCTCTCGTAAACCGATGAAGCTGAAAACTAAAATAAACATTTAACCAAATGAAACAGTAGTTCTGCCCTTCCCGTTTTATACCACGTGTGAAGTCAATGAAAATTGTCGGTTTCAGATGTGATATTGAAACAATTGCCACTTGGAAGCGTTCGGAACATGTTGGAACTCTGCTTAAATTTAAACTGTTCATGGTTTAATTTTGTTGTTATTTTATTTATTTTGGATTATTTAATATTTCTAGCACCGAATTGATAACAAAAAAGAGTTTATACATATCGTATTTTTAACTTTCAAGAAGTTCTAAGCCTTTGATTAAAACCTAATGTTTATCCGATTTAATTAACATGATGAACTGAATAAAATACACTAAAATCTTCAGTTGTTGGCAGATATCATAAATGTTAATTGATATTTCGAATAATCTATTAATTTTAGGGAATCACGCACGCTGCAGTGTGGGCAGCTTGTTGCTCTTATATCGCCCACAACACCCCACCCGAACTGCGCTCATCAGCTCAAGGTGTGCTCCAGGGTATCCATCACGGCCTAGGAAGAGGTTGTGGAGCCGTCATCGGAGGAATGTTTGTCCGTTCCTTTGGATCGACGACGACGTTCCGGGGTTACGGTTTGATATGCCTTTTAGTATTCGGAGCCTTTTACTTTATCAACTTTTACCGGGTGGACCAGGGTTTCGTTTCTGAACTTCCTCAGACTGAAGATCCCAGACAAGTGGCGGAAGAGACTTCCCACTTAGCTCCACACGGAGTGCCCAGCAATCCAATTCCTAGAGCTTTGTCTAGCACTAAGTTGCACGAGCTGTCTCAGCAAGACGGCTATGGTGCCACGTACCAGATGGGACAGGGCGGAACTTTGGATATACCTGGGGCTAATCCGTTTAAACAAACGAATGACGGTAACGTACCACAACAACCTAGGTATATTGGATTTCAGGTAAGAAGTAAGTAAACTCCAGTTTTGTAATTTCTAGTATAAGGTTTGCCACTTATAACTCCCTTAGCCTGTTTCTCCAATAATGTTTAAGTTCTCGTAGCAATCGTGGTATCTATTTTTCTTTTTAATGCCTTCTAATTGAATTGTTTAATTTAAAAAAAATGATTATAGCGAAATGTGCGCTGTTGAAAATGTATTTATTATTTATTTAGTTATGTGCAGATTATTATTAGTATGAACATTATTTTATCATTAATTCTTATTTGAAATTTTAATTAAAAAGAAAGGAGGTAACCCTATATAAAATTACACTGATCTTTGATAAAATACCAGACAAATTCGATATGTTTCAAAAAAAATGACTTCTTGATATCCAAAAGAGTAGAGTTCTATTTTATAGAGTTTATAACACAAGAACTTTATCGATTTTTTTTATACAACCTATATTTATCATGTCTCAATAATTTCTACGGCATTGCTTGCAATGTATGATGAGAAAAATATGTGACATTAATTTTTACTAATGTTAACAAATGAAAAGTAAAAAAACTTATATAACAAACGTTGAAAGGGACATCAAATGGTATCGTTTCTGATATTAAATGTATTCCTGCTGAACGCTGTCAAAAAATATTTGCAGTAACAGTTTATTGTTTATCATATTCTGTCTAGAATATTTAAGATCGTTTATATAAAGTGATCGTAACATAAAAATAATAATAATGAAAAATATCATAACTATTAAATAAATAATTCACAATGTCTCAGATATTAGAGGATCATATTAAACATACGTTTGACGAAGAAAAAAATAAGGGTTTCTCAAAGTGTATAAAAAAATACTCATTTTATATATAAAAAACCGATGACATCATAGTTCTGACATCGAAGATTTCACAAACTATATCACAACTCTGTAGATATAAAATTTTTATTAAAATGCTTTGTTTCTCGAAATTTAAATTATAGTTTTTACATTGTAGTAATTATCATTGTACGTACATTTTTTCACAACCTTTTTACAATATCCATAAAAATATAATTTGAATTCTAAAACTATAGTGTGCTATATTCTTTTTAGAAATATAGTCGATTTCATCAATGAATGAATATGAAAAAATTTCATATAAAACATTTATAAAATAGTCTATGGCATGATCAGATTTTTTGTGTAGCGTACCTATTTAATCGAAATTCTTTAAAATATCATTAAAATACATATTTACATTTTATTTTGCTGCTAAGTTGGCAGTACCAACAGCGGTCAATATAGGTTAATTTAAATAACCGTAGTACCTAAGTAAAACTGCAATGTGCTGGATTTAATCATAATGAAACGCATCTGACGTTATTCATCAGAAGCAGAAATTTCGAAATTAAATCATTTCAACTTTTTTTGGGCAAAACGGTTGGTGGCAAATCAAAAAATACAATCAAATTGAAAAATATGTGAAACGAATTCAAATAAAACTATTATACCTTAATTCAAAACAATATAGATGTCAAAATTATTATCATGAAAATTAATAAGCAATTCTCACCAGGAGATATGGTAAACCCTTTTGGATTCATATTGAAAAAAAGTAGCTGCTAAAAGCAAAGAGAGCTGCTACTTATATATTCTAAAACATATGCGGATGTGAATTGTTTCTTAAAGAGGATAACTTCATTTCTTCTCTAATGTTTTATTCAGTATTCTGACTTACTCATCAGTTTACCCATTTTGAATACAAATATAACTGATCAACAAGTATGTACCCACAAAAATTTAATGCTACTGTTGTTTTATCCGAATTTAAAAAAATGAGGTTAAATTTTTGACGAGGGTATTAGAAAGCTCACGAAGTGCATTGAGGTTGAAGGCAACTATGTAAATAGTGTATAATGTATCTTTCTGAATATGTAAATTTTTCATAAATATACTGTCGTTTTGTGGATATGCCTCCTAAAACTACTTTAATAACTGTTACGATTTATTACCATTCGATTAATGTTTTAGAAAACATTTATTAACATTCATAATGCAAAAGTAGTAGGCATGAGTCTAGAGACTTTATTCTCTTCATGAATAGAGAAATAATGTGATAATGTGAATAAATGAGAATTAGATAAAGTTTTGCTATTTTATTTACTACGTACGGTTTCTATTTGATTTTCGAAATTACTTCCTCAATTTCTGACACGTTTTCTTATTTTCATCGCAAACAAGTCAGTTACAAAATTTTGTTAGACACAATTTACGTTTTTCTTTGATAAGCTCTGAGAGTACTAAATGTAGTAAATTGTAGACTATTATTTGTTTAGTTTAATTAATTTGATTTTATATTTCAGTTTTATAATTTAACAATATTCAAGGTTATTGTGGCAAGTAATATTAACGTTTTCTTTTTAGGCGAGAACTACTAACTCCCATTTTAGATGTGGATTGCCATCTGCTACCACCACGTTGCTCACTCAGCAACCGATCTCCACAACCAATTCGACATATGATTGGTAATATGGATACAATTAAGTATCGATTTTTGATTTAGATTTCTGTAACAATCATGTAGATTTTCTTTAATATACATATGAGGATTTTACTTTATAGAAAGAAAATTGATCTCATCATTGTATGTAGACTATTGTATAGAATATGTTTGCATTAGAACGTTTTGAGAATAGATTTGTTATGAATACTGATTTTAAAACAAAGAGTTTACTAAATGTTGCTAAAACGGAGTATTACTACGTAGGTATATATTCTTCTAATATAATGTACACCACATAAAATTTATTGATTAGGTATTTATACCACTTTACAAACATTTTTGACATGGAGTTAATATAGCTAAATTATTGCAATTTTTAAAGTGCTTCTGCATTTTTTAAAGAACTTTTTAAATCGATAGCTGAAATATTTACTTAACCCTGAAATAAAAGGGCTACTAACTGACTAACTGACTACACTGACTAACTGATTAACTTCTCAAAAGTTTTTATGTGGTACTAGATATTAAAGTTCACATTTCTGTAATATGAGCAAGGTAATAGAAAAATAAAAACTAAGGGTTAACATTCTAATTAGCAAAGTTCTTGGTAATTCGGAATGCAGCTGTAACTAATCTAAAGTATATATAAATGTATAGAAAATATCATCAATATATAAAGTAAGAAAGTGACATGTAATATGCCATTTGTCCATTGACATATGAACAAGGAGATCATTTGATCACATGTCTTTAAGGCTTAATTTGTTTAAAAAAAACTTAAACGACTAACAACGATTAGTAACAAGAAAACAGAGAAAACTATGAGTAATCGGAAAAGATAAATAGGACTATGTAGTTCAGTGGTGCACCGACTGTGTTATGCTGGAACCATATCATGTTTCAGTTTTCTCTTCCAGTTTTTTTCATGTTATCCATCCATTCTTTTAATGTGCTTGACATTTTCATCTACGTATTACTATTATATACGGTCTATACACAGTTGGTACACAGCCATGTAAGTATAAAAGTCTATAATAATTGTTATAATATTTAAATGATGTAAGTATATTCACTTAGAAAGCGATATATTCTCAGTCAAAGGGCGGATAGTAGCTTAGAGGTGGTAAACTAATTGTCTATTCTACTATCCACAACAATGTTCAAGTTGAAAAATTTTTGTAATTCTTTGAATTTAAGTCAAAAATAGTTTAGATTCTTCCATTGGATCATACTCATGCTTAGTGGTAAATGAGGGTAGTAGCAATATTTGTATCATCACACAACTAGCATTTAGAATAATGTATCATATGAGCTTTGTAACTGTTTTACGTTTTAAATATTTTCCAGACTGTCAGCTTCTGTTCTTTTAATAATATGTACCTCCCAATAACTTTGTTGATGTTGATACATTTTATAGCCACTAAAGGAATAATTAAAACAAGACTTTGTAATATACGAATGTATTGGTTATTTATTAACTTATTACTACTTTACTTGTTAGCTATAAGATAATATTGAATTTTTAGAGATGATGTACAGGTGTACATTATTGTAAGTATTTATTATTGTAAGCTTCTAGCAGTTGTTTTAAGCTCAGCTGTATTCAGTATAGTGAAGTAAAATGAAATAAAGGCAACAGGTAATTTTGTTCGTCTAGTAGATACTAAAAATGTATTTTAAAAAGGCTATGATAAATAATCATTTTTAAAGAAGGATACAACACACTACGTAAAAATATGAAATTCTACAGTGAGCAAAAAGTGCTCATCATGTGGGAAAAACATGTATTACTTTTTTATTTTTGTCAATACTTTTATATAATTTAATTATGTCTAATATAGTAATAGACTATCTATCTTTATGCAGCATTTTAGATATATACTTGTTTTAATTTTTATTTAGAAAAGCTTCCTTAAAAATACAAGGGTGAAATTCTAGACTACCCCGTATTGTAAAACATTCAGCACAGGAAATTTTATTCGAAGCATAGTATCAAATTGTCACAAGAGAAAACGTCTTTCAATTTTTTTAAAAGAAAAAATAAATTAAATAGTAATAATAGTACGTTTACAAAGATGTGGTACTGATGTGATATAAATCTAAAGAAACAGCGCTCAAAAAAAAGTGTACAAGTGACATGTCTGTATAGATCAAACCAACAAGTTTGTCCTGTATATGGAAAAATAAATCGAATAGTATATTTTTTACTTAGAGTCTAAGTAAAGTTTTAGACTAACGAATTCGATTTAACTAAACACGCTGAGTAATAAATTACCCTGTAAAAACTAAACATATTTTTTATTAAGAAAGTAAATTATTTATTTTCTTCAATGGCAATTAGTAAGGGTCTATAAAATGTAACCAATTCGATTTAACTAATGACTAATAAATTACCCTGTAAAAACTAAATATAATTTTATTGAAAAAGTAAATCGTTTATTTTCTTCAATGGCAATTAGTAGGGATGTAACTTAAACATTTAATTTTAATAAACATTTTGGAATACCATCATCTAATAGGTGACTATCGAATTTATTTTATTTTTTTTTTTTTAATTTTCCGTCAAACACCAAAAGACGAGCAGCACTGTTTTAGTTATTTAGAGCTTCTAACAATGCAGAAGCAATTGCCGATATTAACACAAAATTTGATAACAAAATTCGTACCTATATGATGCGTACTTTTTGCTTGTCTGGAATATATAAAGCATTAATTAAGGTAGACAATCTATAAATGGTGATTCCTTAAGTGATTTTAAGCCAAAAGGATTATATAAATATGGTTCCGGAAAGTTTTCGACATACAGTGTTGAAGTTATAAAGTGTAAACTACTCGTTTCTCAAAAAAGTTCATTGGATCTCTTTGCTAGAAATACAGTTATAAATACAAATTAATAACGTCCCAGAAAATCAATGAAGTGAAATTTTGCATTTATGTTAAAGACAGAAAGTGCCCGTAAAAAATTGCGGCATTTACAGACTCCATTTCCATTTCCATTCCATTTTCTATTTAAAACTATAATGTTTATAAAAAAACATATTTTTGCGAATAGGGTGGTTCCAAAGTTATGAAGTATTTGGTAACGTCAATGTAGTAGTGACAAAATTTTCAAAATACCCATAACTTCGAATTTCTGGGGTTTTTAATGAAAATAAATCCCGGTATCTACGTCCACTGGTGCACGTATTTATATCCGAACTCGGTAGATTTTTGCCTTTATTTATTCCAACATCTTCAGAGATAAATCAGAAAAGGTATTTTTTTTAATTTAACAACTATCGATTTGTGGGTCCATGTTTATGTAATCTTTTTGGAATAAAATCACTTAAAAAATCACCTCTTAAATATTGTTTAAGTGCTTAATTAACACCCCCTGTAAATAAAGTACCTATCTATTTCTGTTTAGATTACAGAACAAACGCGATTTCTTTAAAAATAAAATTTATTCTACTTCTCGTTTCAAAAAAATGTAAAGAATATTCCTGTCTGATGTATATTTCATTTTAATTCACACCGCACTAAAATATATTTTCTTTGAGATAGTTTCAGTTATATGTAATACATCACTAAGTGATATCCTTAGTACATACATATCTAAATATTTATTAAGAATTAATAAAAACAATCGCAAAGGATATCATTATTTATGTAAAAAGCACTGTAAACTTACCTGTAAACGTGGCATTAATAGACCCGCACCTAAATTAAAAATAATTTGTTATTTAGAAATGAATGTTTGTTAAACCTTTTATCCTTTCATTCGACCTGGCTGTACCGAAATTTTCAAAAGCGTTTTAATTAGTAGTAACAAATCAACTCATCTAAGCACACGAAATCATCAATATTAGAGAGTTTAAAATGTAATATCACTCATTGTCAGTGGCATAATTAGTATATCAGCTTCATTTATTTCTTTTAATATTCCATGTGTATGAAAAGGTGTACTTGTAATAATAATAATGCCATAATAATGTTTTATTCGAAGTGATTTAATTGACAACAAGATATTCTTTTTAAAGTTAATATTTACATTTATATAGTAATACAATGTTATATTCACAGTATTTTTTTTATTAATAAGAAGTAGGTATTATTCCCTCCACATATCTACCCCCTTCGTCCCACATTACCAATTAAGTTGATATGACAAATACATAGATACATGGGTACAAATGAGGTATGTCAAATTCCACTCTGGACTGCAAACAAATACCAATACAACAAATAAGTTAAAATGTATAAATCTTAAAACATGAAAATACAATAAAATATGAGAATACAACGATTGGAGTATAGCAACATGCCAAGTGCACTCCATTACAGTTCATAATAAGAATTTATTTATTAGATGTATATGGTATATTAAAAGAAAATCCTGTACAGAGTATTAAGTTTTATTTGTAATATAAATTTTTAGTTTATTTTTAAAGGTTATAAATTATAATAACCTATTTATTGGGTTTAGATTATTGTACATTTTTAAGTTTTATGAATTCTTTTTGAACTTAATTAATTTAAATAAATAAAATAGGCAAGCGCATTAAAAGCTGACAATGGCCGCGGAAATTACCATGGGCTATAATGCGAATTATTTTCTTTTGTCGGTGAAAAATCTTTCCAGTAGCACTGGAATTATCCCACAAAATATATATCAGCAAACGAAATGCGCGAAAGAAAAGCTAAAATAGACACCACATAAAATATTATATTTGAGAAATCCAGGTAACTGTCTAATTAAAAATATTATGCTTGATGACTTCACAGATTATTTACATAATCTTTATATACAGGGTGTCCCGAAATTCATGCAACAAAATTTGATCATAGATTCTTAAGACAAATTTAGGGGACCCGTATTTTTTCTTTTTACCAACTAGCCCCCTCTTTCGGAGGACACTAGGAAATCTGCCCCTAAGAAGTCTTTTTTATATCTCAAAAGCATGTTGTACGAGAATCACTAAATTTGGTATACAGGTGTTTTATGTCATGTGGAATCTCACGGTGCTACGCTTTTTGGCGAGAAACCCCCTTAAGAC